CTTGTACTGCCTCGTACTCTCTTGCATTGTCTTGTACTGCCTCGTACTCTCTTGCATTGTCTTGTACTGCCTCGTACTCTCTTGCATTGTCTCGCATTGTCTCTTGCATTTCGTCCCGTCTCTTTCCATGCGTGCCTCTCTGTGCCCTGCTCTGCCCACCCCATTTCACTCTTCAATCAAACCAACCTACGTGCCAAATCTCTGCATGTCTGCCCCTGCTGCGGCCGTATCTGCCCCCAAAAGGGTGTCCACGGCTTCTATGCCTCTCCCGAAAAGGGGTTTAGCCCCTTCAATGACAGCGAGGGGAGTGGATTCGACCAGCTCTTGCAGACACGTGTGCGCAGACCCTATATAGGGGACACCATGTTCTATGGCTCGCTCTACAACGGCTTTACACACATGAGGTGAGCCACGGACCCCATGTGCATGTGCAGATGCCTGTGCAGCAGCATGAGCGCACACCCTACATAGCGGACGGACACCATGCTCTATGGCTCGCTCTAATACGCAAAAACGCAAAAAAACGCTTTTGAGTCGACGCAAAAACGCTATTGAGTCTGCTTTTGAGTCGACTCAAATACGAGGTGAGCCACGCATCCCATATAGCGGACACCTTATGTGCAGATGCCCGTGCAGGCGCCTGTGCAAATGCCCGTGCACGGACCCCATATAGCAGACACCTTATGTGCAGATGCCCGTGCGCGGACCCCATATAGCAGACACCTTATGTGCAGATGCCCGTGCTCGGACCCCATGTAGCAGACACCTTATACCATGGCTCGCCTTGCACAGGCTTCGTGCACACGAGGTGAGAGCCTGGGGAGCTAGGTGCTATGCTCGACATGAAACAAACACCTTCTGGTCAACGGCTTGCCTTCTGGTCAACGGCTTGCCTTCTGGTCAACACTATGCCTCCTGCACCATGCCTCCTGCACCATGCCAACAGCCTTGCTGTCTTGTTCTGCTCGCCCATTCCGGTCTTTGGTTTCACTCTCAATGAGCACTGCACCCTCCCCTGTTGTTCCTGCTGCTTAAGCGTTTAGCCTGCACCATGCCATTAGCCTCTATATCTTCTTCTGCTCGCCCATTCTGGATCTTTGGTTTCACTCTCAAAGAGCGCTGCACCTTCCGTTTCTTCTCCCAGGTTGAACGTCACCAGGGGCGGCAGGGCCTTTGTGTTCAATCTGACGTACGTGGCACAGATGGGGTCCATACAGGAGCCTCAAAAGCTGCACCTCCCGTTCCCTTGCCCCTCCTAGGTTCAACATGACCAGAAGAAGCGGCCGCGCCTTTGTGTTCAATCTGACATACGTGGCACAGATGGGAGCGGTGCAGGAGGTGCTGCCAGCGTGGATGTTCAACACCAGCCTCCTGGGAGACGACGTGCTGAGCCGCCCAGACTCTCCCTTCCGACTCGTTGCCTACAACTCCTTCCTGCATGATGTCACCACACTCAACTCAACACTGGACTACAGAAGAGTGGCATGTGCGTGCATGGAGCCAAAACACACATGAGTGGAGGCAGTGCCGGCTGTGCTTTTGCTCTAGCAACGCGCGTGCCTGTGCTCTAGCAACGCGCATGCGTCCAGAGCACCTCTATTCTGTTCTCAGTTTCTTGTGTGCTATTCTTGTTTTGAGGCGCCTCAAAACCAGTTTCTTGTGTGCTATTCTTGTTTTGAGGCGTCTCACAACGAGTTTCTTGTGTGCTATTCTTGTTTTGAGGCGCCTCACAACCAGTTTCTTGTGTGCTATTCTTGTTTTGAGGCGCCTCACAACCAGTTTCTTGTGTGCTATTCTTTTCACGCTATAATGCTATAGCAATCCTCCTCGTTCTTTGCAATCCTCCTCGTTCCACAGTCGTACGCCCTCTCTCGTTCTCACACCTGACTACTGTCTCATGTGCCCTTGCATGCTGGCTGCAAAATGTTTCTCTCCTTGCCGTCTCATGTGCACTCTGCTCCCCATGTCTCACCCAGGCATGCACCTGCTGCCCGTCATACGCCAACACGTGCAGAACGCGCAGCAGGTGACCTTCTTTGGCCCGTGGGCAGCCAGAGAGGACATCAAGCCGCGCTGGCTGATCAACCGAAGTGACAACGTGCGTGGCATGGCCTTCGAGGAGGAAGCTTCCAGGTGGGTGGTGCTTCAAGAGGAATATTCCCAGTGGGTGGTGCTTTCGCATCATGTCGCTCACCTCATGTCATACTCACATCGCTAAGAACTGAACCAATTGTTGAATCACAATCTCCACACAATTCCAACAGCAAGTGACTACACATGATTTAGGGCAGAGCAAAGATTGACAAGGTGGTGGCGATGCCAGCTTCATGCATCAATAACATCAATAAGTGATTTCCTTCTGAATTCATTGATTGTGTGAGGTGGTACACAGCAGCAAGTCTGTTCATTGGACTGAATGCCCTTGAAATAATCTCCTTGCTTCCTACTGTGATTTGCTACCCTCTTATTGGTGGTGCTCTATGCTTTTCAGGCTGCTGCCACACGAAGGATTTGAAAGATTTGTGCCAATGACTCCTGTCACGCTTCCTCGTCCTGACTTGACAGATGACAGCACGCATTACTCGTGGATAGTTACCCTCGCCATGCTGGATATTTGGTTCACCACCGCCTGCTTAGAAACATGATAGTTTTTGCTAAACTAGGTACCGTACTTTCCCGGATATAGGACCCTCCGCTAAAAGAGTCCCTCAGGACTTACGTGCCGGAGGGGGAGGAGGGTGTTAGAATACATATTATTCTTATATAAATGCACGTATAGCTAGAAGTGTAGGGCCTTGGTGGTATACCCCCCTTTGCCACCTTTCCTATATCTTGTCTCTCCTTCCATATTGCAAACCCTCTTTGTTTTGCCAAACACCTCTCGCTCACAACTCTCGTACTCACGCTATGGCTACTAAGGACATTCCTCCCTAGTCTACTAAGTTGGTGTATGCTTTTTTAATACCAATCTGTGAGGTCTCCCATTTCTTCAATGGTTATTTTCCTCTACATTCAGCAGGCAACTTAACAGTTTACTACAGTGACATACATGTCAGATTCTTAAGTGTCACATGTGAACGCAGTTACGTTACCTAAAGCATGAGCTATGTTAACTATGCCACGGTGATTCCTCAGGTAGTGCCTGCATGGTTTATACTAACTACCTACTCATCATCCCACTTGTTGTAGGCAGTGGGGTCGTCAGGGTCATGATTGAGCTCATCAACCTCTGAGTCGACGCCTTCTTCATTATCATCATCACCAGCATCCACAGTGTCGGGCTGGTGGGCTGCGTAGAGTGGGTTGACCCACACTTCCACCATTGCAGCCGCATTCACGTTGACTGCCACCTCAACCGCTGCTGCATCATGCATGTGGGCGAGGATGAGGTGGTCCTCGCGACCATCAGGTCTGCTCGTGATGCCAGACGTCTTGAATGACCGCTCGATGAGGTCTGCCGGCACCGCCGCCCAAGACTCCGCAATCCAATTGAGGACGAGCTCGGCCTGAGGCTTGCGGAGATTCCCTGGGGGAACGGAGCTGGCAGGGAGAGAGAGAGAGAGAGAGAGAGAGAGAGAGAGAGAGAGAGAGAGAGAGAGAGAGAGAGAGAGAGAGAGAGAGAGAGAGAGAGAGAGAGAGGGAGTTGATTCCCTCCGATGCACAAGGGGACCTCAAGGGGGAACCTTTGAGAAAAACTAAGCGGTTTCGTGGAATTTTATCCTCAGGTTCGTCGAAGCCGGGTTCCGACACTATTGGTCGTTGAGTTTCGAGTTTGCTTTCACGTCTGTTGTCTGTTGTGCGCACCCTGCGGCATCAGCTTCAGATTTCTCTGGCTGGATGTACATCTGTAAGGGTTGCACGGTAATTCAAGTTGAATTTTGTCTGTAGTAAGCCAAGGTTCGGGCCAAGGCTGGCAAGAGTTGTGGTTTGTTGTGTTGCCGATGCGATGTTCTTGTGCAGCCTAAGTGCTACTGAACAGGGCTTTTGTCAGCACCTTATTGGCGGAAAGGTGATGGTTCTGAAGTCAACACACAGTAGCAAAGATTCACCTGAGGGGTACGGGCTCATGACCCGCATGCTGCCAGCAGCAGCCTGCACTCTTGGCATGCTTCTTGGGAATTAGAGATCACAGTCCAACAAGTGAAGAGCAGCGGCGGCAGGGGGGGTGCCCGGGGCATACAGGCTCATGGCCCGCATATGCTGCAAGAGGTGGCCCGCACTCTGCACACTCTCCTTGGGAAATATACAGTTGCAGTACAAGGATTGAAGAGCAGCGGCAGCAGAAGGGTGCCTGAGGGATACCGTCACCGTCTCATGGCCTGCATTTTCCAAGAGGTGATCGGCACCGTCTGGAACCGGATCGACTGGGTGGGGAACCTAAACCCTCAACACTCTTCTTCTGGAAGTGAAGTGTAGTATGGAAGGTGAGGAGAGGAGCAGTAGTAGACTCAGTAACCAGAGGCACAGGCTCTTGACTGGCATGATTTGCAAGGCCAACGGCAGCACCATGCATGCTCTTCCCACAGGTGGATCACAAGTAGGCTCATGGGCCTTGCTTGAAATGTGCAGCTTCTTGTGCACAGGAAACCTTAACAAGGCTAGTTAGGTTAGGAGCCAGAACCAGTGGCAACGCTTGTGTATTTGACACCTAGGTAACACCCCTTCAAGTATAGACTTAAAGAGTGATTGCTTGCATGCATGGAAAGATGCCATCTGCAGCTCCAAGCACAGCTGTTTCATATTCTTTCCCAGCCAGCTACCAGGCACATACGGAACAATCAGCTCAAGACCAGAGATTGCATGTACACTGCCATGGGGGAACTCGTGGAATTGAATGATCAACAAGTGTGGCTCCACATACGTACGTGACTGTTGGTATCATTGTGGGCTACATGTGCACGCACTGTCGGTGCATGAGGGCAACGACTCGAGTGCGTGGGGCTATGAGAGTATTGTCATATGTACAATGGTTGCTCGCATCTGCTACTGGAGTGAAGGATCTACAAGCGTGGCTTGGCCAAGCGGGTTCCGCCCGTAACATCTCTTCCCGTGAATTCATTGTCCGTGCCTTCACTGTCAGCACACAGCTGCATCCACCCAGACAGCACCATCCTGTTGCGCTCTGCGATCCAGCACTCAAAGCTCACACGCATCAACGGCCTCCCCCATGCTCCCACGCCCCCCTCTCCCGATCCTGCTGGCTCATCTTCCCCTGCTGCGCTTGATGCTGGTATGGACACGGGCTGCCAGGTTCGGGTGATGAGAGTTTCCCCAGGAAACACATGCCCGGTGAACCGAACCTGCACGCTGTGAAAGAGGCTCGGGTCGCCCCTGCAGCAGGTTCGGAGGATGGCTCGGGTGGCAAAGCCGAGCGTGCAGAGGCCGTGCAGGATCGGGCGAGGATAGCTGGGGTGTTGGGAATGAGTAGAGCAAGATTTTGAGGTTGGGGGAAGAGGGAAAATGGAGGTGGGTTGAGGAGGGAAGGCAACATAGATTGATGAGGTAGAGGTGACGGAGATGGGGAGACGATGCTGAGGGCAGGGAATACAACTAAGCTGAGTGGGCAGGTAACAGGTTCCAAAGACAATGGGAAGAAGAGCAGGATGGTGGACATCAGAAATAGGGCTAGTTACCCTGCAGTGGCGGCGAATTCAGGGTCGGAGTGGAGGGGGTTGAGGTCGCCACAGAGGCGGTACAGCAGAGCCTGATTGGGGGGGATGCGCTCCTCTGCTGATGCATGGGGTGCTGGGCGAACGGATGGCTGTCTGGCGACTGACGCACTGCCACGTGCTGGTGGTGGTTGTTGTGGTTGCTGTTGCGGTTGAGATGGGTTCGTGGAGGTGGTGGGAGCGGAAGGACGTGGCGTGGTGGCAGGTGTGGAGGCAAGTTTGGAGGAGAACCCCCCGGCACCACGCAGCACAATGGATGACCTGATGGGGTTGTGGGATGGCATGGCATGGCATGGCATGGAGTGGGATGGCACATGATCGAATGGAAGGTTAGAAGGATGAAAGGGGATGCCATGGCATGCCACAAATAGGGCGGATGAGGGCACATGGAAAGTTATGATACAACATGAAAGATATGATCTGACATGATAGCATGCTTCTGCTGCAATAATGGGCAGCCCACACGGTTAAGCTCCCTTCAGTCGAGCAACGTCTCACACTCACCTGTTGAGTGCAAGCCTGGCGCCTGACTTGCGGTCTAGCGAGACCGTCTCCACATCCACTATGGCCGCCGGCTCTGCCCTTGTTCCTTCCCCTGCATGCTACGCCTTGTAAGTCGCCTTATAACATAAGCGCACCTGTTGACTGCCAGCCTGGCGCCTGACTCGCGGTCAAATGAGACTGCCTCAGCTTCCACTATGGCCGCCCTGCCCTTGTCCTTCAGGTCCCTTATTCACTTGAAGTAGACTCGGAACAGAGGCGCACCTGTTGACTCAGAACAGAAGCGCACCTGTTGACTGCCAGCCTGGCGCCTGACTCGCGGTCGAACGACACTGTTTCCACGTCCACTATGGCCGCCCTGCCCTTGTCCTTCAGCGCTGATATGCGCGCTCGATTCACCACCTGCCGTGGGGTGAGGTTGCGAGGCGCACAAAGGGCGAGAAACACGAGATCTGGGTGCTGCGGAGTGGTCGAACGACACTGTTTCCACGTCCACTATAGCCGTCCCGCCCTTGTCCTTCAGCGCTGATATGCGCGCACGATTCACCACCTGCCTTGGGTTGAACACCGAGGGTCAGATAGACATATGGGCGAGAGCAGGTATACAGGTAAGTACTTGCTTTCGTAAACTTGTCCTTCAGCGTTGATATGCGCGCTCGATTCACCACCTACGGCAGGGTGAGGTTGCGAGAAACACCAAGGGCGAGAAACACAGGGTGCTGTGGAGGGGTCGGGAGACTCAACGTCCACTATAGCCGCCTGCCCTTGTCCCTCAGCGCTGATATGCGCGCTCGATTCACCACCTGCCTTGGGTTAAACACCAAGGGTCAGATACATGAGAAAGAATAGTTATACAAAAAGGCGAATGATTTCCTGGTCATGCAGTTCAGCCCCGCATTGCGCGCGCGATTGACCACTTGGATTGGCAGGAATCAGAAGCAAATGCAGGCTTGGTATGAAACCGTTTGCTTCAACAAAAGGATACAGAAACCAAGCTGGCTGGCTATTTTTCACCCTGGCAGTGGTGGGCAGGAGTGGCCAGTTGTATTGAGTTGGGTGGTTCGGGCTCACCTTGGCAGAGGTGGGCAGGGGGCGGAAGAGGCATAGGTACTGCTCTCCGTGCAGCAATAGAGCCGGATCGAAGCTGGGGGAGGGAGGAGATGAGTGCAGAGGTGGAGAGGAGGAGAGAGAGGGAGAAGGGCGACTGATTCTGAGACGAATACAGGGCAGATGGATGACTCGGAAGGGCGAAAGGGAGTGGAGGTATAGGGAGAGGAGCGAGAGAGGGAGGGAGAGAAGGCAGTTCCCTGCATCGTGGACACGTGTGCTTGTGTCCCGCCCCATCCACTCACACGAGCCCATCAACAGCGAGGAGTCGCTCAACGAGGGAGGAGGGGAAGGGTGTGGGGTATAGAGCGAAGAACAAGGGAGAAAGGATCGAATGTGGTTACCAGCACGGCCGCATCCCATCCACTCACACGAGCCCATCGACGGCGAGTAGTTGCTCGATGAGGGAGGAGGGGAAGAGAACCGCAAAGGTGGGGAGGACCTGTGGTGTGAGAGGTGGCGCAAGGAGGGAAGAGGGAAATGAGGGTGAAGGGGAGAGGAATGTTTGGGAGCAAATGAGTTAAGGGCATTGAGTGCAATCTTGGAACGTCTGTGATATGATGATGGGGTGTGAGACGGAATGGGGACAGAAGGATAGTGACACAGGGAGAGTGACGCAAGGAGGGTAACTGTAGCAGGTGGAGTGTGGTAGGTTGGTGCCTACAAAGAATCGATCCTGGAAGAGGTGATTATAGGCGAAGGGCAGGTCGATAGAGTCACACGCGTCAGACGAGCATGCCCCAACGCCCAACGCGTATAGTGCCACGTCCCTGCCAGCCAGCACACACATAACGACACGCCATGCCACACAGTCACAGGGAGGGACATGCATCCCCGGCACAGACGTAGGGGTTGGCAATGGCGCATGTGCACAGCAGCGAGTGTCGCATACAGGACAAGCCATGCCACACACGCACGCACGCAGGGAGGCAATCACTGGCAAGACACCACGAAACCACCAAGAAGTATGAGGTTTTGAAAAAAAATGAACAACAAAGACACTTCTTTCCCGCTTTTCTCCCACGCAATGTTTCCCCCCCTCTCCTTTCCGCCACCCTTTCTCCCACCCAGTTCCCCCACCCCTTCCCCCACCCTTTCTCCCACCCAGTTCCCCCACCCCTTCCCCCACCCTTTCCCCCACCCAGTTCCCCCACCCCTTCCCCCACCCTTTCACCCACCCCTTCCCCCACCCCTTCCCCCACCCTTTCACCCGCCCCTTCCCCCACCCCTTCCCCCACCCTTTCACCCACCCCTTCCCCCACCCTTTCCCCCTCCCTTTCCCACACCTTTTCCCCCCGTAACCTTGCGCTTACTTCGCTGTGTACTCATATTCTGACTGGAAACCGTCCCGGGTTTAGCGGCGGCGCATGGGGGCCAATAGAAGTCATTTACATGTGCATGCGCGGCGGTTGGCAAGCGATGACAGGGAAAGGGGGGCGAACAGAGAGAATTGAGGAGGATGGGGGAGATGCGTGGAGGGGGATTACTCGGTGGAGCCGTGCATGAGAATGAATGAGGAGCGACGAATAGAGAGAGCAATGCTGTATGAGAGTAATGAACAACGACAGCGACGAACTGAGAACGCCGGGGGCGAGGGGGAGGTGGAAAGAGATGCTGAGGCAAGCTGCGCTCGACTCCCGCGTTCCCCATTGGTCGAATTCATGCAACCAGGGATCGAATCGTCCTGTGGACATGCGAACTAACCTCGTCGAATTCGTATCCGACAACCTTCTCCGCCTCAATTCTCGGCGCTCCACGTGATGCTGCCATCCCTCGCAATCTGGCAGTCAAAGGATGCACTCTTGGTCTTGATACCAGGAGAGAGAATCTAGATGTGAGGTGAGAGGATCCTGATGCCACGTCAGAAAATCCTGATTTCAAACGATAGAGAATTCTGACGCCACATGAAAAAAAATCTGAAGTCAAGTGAGTTACTCTCGCAGTGGAATCTTAGGGCTTATGAGGTCAACGTGCAGTCAATTGTGTCACGGCTATGAGGTCTTTACGTGGAATCTGGGCTTTTCAACTCATAGCTTTTGGTGAGGTTCAGGTGGAGGTTGAAATGGCGGGCACGCGAAATTCTAACGCTGTGGCAGTGAGGATGTACTGTACACTGAACACAATATCTACAATTTTCCATATAAATAACATTTTCTCACCTCTCGTCTCCTCTCTTGCCACGCCGCTACCCATAGCGGTTCGTTGTGGAGCCAGCCGTATGGTGTGTCAGAGAGTCCGTCAGGGCGTGCTGCATTTTTCATTTTTTCGTCCGGATGGCCAGCCGTCCGGACGATTGTGTGGTTACAGAACTCGTCAATTCTCGGCAGTGAGCTCGTCAGGGTCTAAACGACGTCGTATTCTTCGGATTGCCTCCTTACGACATCGTATAGGTCGCAAAGCGACCGTGCGACGTCGCAATCTTCGTACGCGTCCGGACAGCCGTCCGGAATTTCAGCGACTTCAAAAACTGAACACGCCCTTATGCCCGTATTCACAACAACTGATGGGTCGGGACGGGAAGCTATGCTAGGCATCAATCACAGATTTGGTTATGTACCATTGCTTTTCCCGCCTGCGAGTGCCGGCAGCAGAGCCTGCCGCGTGATCGCGAAAATAGATCTCGGAATGGATCTTGAAAGCAGTAGTACCATTCCTAGTACTAGTACTAATACTCGAATAATCTCGTCTGAGAGCAGGCCGAAGCACGTAGTCCTAATATGACATTTTTACGAGAAATGGGAGGGGGTGTGGCAGCAGGAAAGACGAATCGAGTGGAGCAGCGGCGCGTGGGAGTTCGATCATTTGTCGCCGCAGTGCTGCTGCTCGGCGCGCTGCTGTCCGTCTACATGGCCGTTCACGCCGTGCTCACTTATGCGCCTACTGACATAGCAGCGCGTGAGTGGTATTTCGAGTCGACTCAAAAGATGGCTCATTTGACGTCGGTGCGCTGCTGTCTGTCCACTTAAGTAGCAGGGTTCACGCCGTGTTCACTATTCGCCTCCGGACATAGCAGCACGTGAGTGAAAGCAGGCGACTTTTGAGGCGCCTCGAAAGCCGTAGTCACTTATTCGCCTCCAGACATAGCAGCGCGTGACTGAAGCAGGCGAATGTGCAACGGACTTTAGTTGCAACTTCCCACTGCTTTGCTATAGTGCAATATTATGCTCCAGGTTTTATTTAATGCGCAAGTTTTTTCTGGGCGTGTCATACTTGGTTAACTCTCAGTTCATTTGAAGCGGTTGACTACGATGTTGTGCGTTCTACAGCGGTATGGTTGTTCCACCGCTTTGAACCGCCACATACCGGCCTGAACAGCGATTCATGAGCTGAACACTCACCATGCATGACACGCCCTGAGGTGTACTCATGTCCTTAAAAACCCCTCGTTGCAACTCATCACCTGCCCTGGCTCGAAACACACGATATGAAAGGTGAGGTTTGAGTCGACTCAAAACTCACTTGCAACTCGTCACCTACCCTGCCTCGAAACACACGATGTGAAAGGGGACAGAGTAATGGCATGCTAGGGCATTGTTTGCGGTGGTATATGTTCTCTTCTGTACTAACAAATGTGGCGGTGTGTCAGATCACGCCTGGACCAAGGCCGACGTCGCATTGTCCCAGCTTACACGCCGTGTGGCTACTGAGCTCAGATTTTTGCGATGTGCCTTTGCGCGCGGCTTCTGTTGCACCCTTTTTTGCGACGCGGAGTTACAGTGTTGCCAGTCGCGAACTTGTTTCATGCGGAGGACGGAGTGGCGCGCCGTGACTCTGTAACGCGGATGGCGCAGAATGAGGCGGCAAAAGAGCCGGCGGACACGCGGGCAGGAGAGGAAGCAACGCGTGGGGAGGAGGAGGGGACGGAGAGGGAGTGCGGGGTGGAGGAGGAGCGGAGGGCGGGGGAAGGGTGGCACGTCACGGGGGTGGCGAGGTTTGGGCGAGTGGAGGTGGAAGGAGCGGGCGCGGAGAGGGCTCTCGCTAACCAGCGCACGTGCTTCTCCGTGACTGGTGGGCCTGGGAGACGGGGGTTGACTTTTGAGTCGACTCAAAAGTCAACCATGTGCTTCTCCGTGACTGGTGGGCCTGGGAGACGGGGGTTGACTTTTGAGTCGACTCAAAAGTCAACCATGTGCTTCTCTGTGACTGGTGGGACTGGGAGACGGGGGTTGACTTTTGAGTCGACTCAAAAGTCAACCATGTGCTTCTCTGTGACTGGTGGGACTGGGAGACGGGGGCGGGGAAGGGACTGCTTGTGGGCTGGGAAGGGACTGTGTAACACTTATGGTCTGCACATGCAATAATCCCCACCTAGCCTTCTCTTCTTTCGCACTTCCAAGTTGCTCTTAATTTTATTCCTATGCATTGTTCTATGATTCCTGAGGAAGCACAATGCGTGATTCTAGTAATGATCCATGCCCTGCTTTGCTGTGCTCTTGCTTGGTTTTGAGTCGACTCAAAAGCAGCTTCCTGAGCAAGCACAATGCGTGATTCTAAACATGATCCATGCCCTGCTTTGCTGTTCTCTTGCTTGGCTGGGATGGTCTGTGTCTGCATATTGCCGCTGCTGCCGGCCGCTGCTGCTGCTGCCATCACTGCTGCTGCTGCTGTCACTGCTGCTTCTGCTGTCACTGCTGCTGCTGCTGTCACTGCTGCTGCTGCTGTCACTGCTGCTGCTGCTGCTGTCACTGCTGCTGCTGCTGTCACTGGCATTGCACGTGGCAGCATTCGATGTAGCTGGAGACCCGTTCGATGTTGGTTGCAGGTGCGTCAGTAACGGGCAGGTGGGCTGCGGAGGCCTTGGAGAGGCGGCTTAGAGAGCCAGTTTAGCCAGCTTAGAGAGGCAGTTTAAAGAGCCAGGGTTTGCCAGCTTAGCCAGCTTAGAGCTCTGGAGACGCGTTCGACGTTGGTTGCAGGTGCTGTGTCCACCATACCTCCCTCTCTCCCTCTCTCCATCCCCTCTCCCCTCTCCTCTCCTTCTCCTCTCCCCTCTCCTCTCCGTCCCCTCTCCCCTCTCCTCTCCCTCCCCTCTCCCCTCTCCTCTCCTCTCCCTCCACCCGTCGCCCTCATGCCATCCTACCCCACTGCTACCCCACCGCCCCCGGCTATGCATGCACTCTCGTGCCGTGCATGCACTCATATCACATCTCCCACCGCCCGTCTCTTTGCCTGCCATCTGACCCTCGTGCAATCAAGCGCCCCCTCTCCACTCCATCGCCCCTCTCCACTCTCCATCGCCCCTCTCCACTCTCAATCACCCCTGTCCACTCAATCACCCCTGTCCACTCAATTACCCCTCTCCACTCTCCATCGCCCCTCTCCACTCTCCATCGCCCCTCTGCTTTCTGCTGCAGGCAGCGGGCGTTCTTCGTGGCACTCCTCGCATTTGACACCCTCGCCAACCGCTCCTCCTCTCAACCTCTCGGTGCCGCCTCCTCCCTTTTCACCGACTCACCCTCTTCCTCCACCACCATCACCGCCATCACCAATAGCAACAACATCAGCGGCAGCAGCAGTGGTGGCAGCAGCAGCAGTGGCAGCAGCAGCGACAGTGGAGTGGGTGCGGAGGACCCAGAAAGTAGGTGGCGACGTTTCGGGAGAACGGCGAGAGTGACAGAGGCGCCGGCATGGGACGATGCTGCTAACGGGTGGACTGACCTGCGACTGGCAGCTCGAGTCACGTACCGCCCCGCCTCCTCCTCGCACCAGGTGCTCTCCTCCTCGCACCAGGTGCTCTCCTCCTCGCACCAGGTGCTCTCCTCCTCGCACCAGGTGCTCTCCTCCTCGCACCAGGTGCTCTCCTCCTCGCACCAGGTGCTCTCCTCCTCGCACCAGGTGCTCTCCTCCTCGCACCAGGTGCTCTCCTCCTCGCACCAGGTGCTCTCCTCCTCGCACCAGGTGCTCTCCTCCTCGCACCAGGTGCTCTCCTCCTCGCACCAGGTGCTCTCCTCCTCGCACCAGGTGCTCTCCTCCTCGCACCAGGTGCTCTCCTCCTCGCACCAGGTGCTCTCCTCCTCGCACCAGGTGCTCTCCTCCTCGCACCAGGTGCTCTCCTCCTCGCACCAGGTGCTCTCCTCCTCGCACCAGGTGCTCTCCTCTCTCTCGCGAGCAAATGGTTCTCCTGTAATCTCTCTTCTCTCGACTAGATTCTCAGCTCGAGTATTAAGGCATGGCTCGTAGCGCAACGAGGAGTGAGGCCCTTTCAAATGACTTTTGAGGCGCCTCAAAAGTCCTCTCCTCTCTCTCTCTCTCTCTCTCTCTCTCTCAAATGGTCCTTTGTATTAATTCAGCAGGGGGAAAAGACATGCAATTTCACTCGTGGTTCCCTTATACCTTCCGACCCATCAACCCATCCCTCTGACCCTCCCCCCCCCCCTCCCTTAGTGCCCCTCTAACCCTCCAGCGTGTGGAGGATGTCCCCTAGGTGCAGCGGCCATGGGTCCGCTGCCATCTGGGGGTGCGCTGCCTCAATCCCCGTCCTGGCCTTGGTGTGCAGGGCATTCGCCTGGGAGCGCTGGAGGGCCACTGACCAGCGCTGGCTGAAGTGGCAGGCCATCTTCTTGGCGGATTTCGCCAAGGGGCTGGCCCTGAAGCGGTTCCTAGCTGCTGCTGTGGCCAGCAGTTTCAGGAACGCCGTCGTGGGGGGCGCGTTTGCCCCATAGGTCTCGACGGCCAGGGCGCAGAACACCACGTGTTCATTGTGTCGGTAGTAGTCCCTCTCCTTCCGCTTCTGTGCCTCCCTTGCAGCCCAACCTGGGGGTTTGCGGGCCGTGGGGTCTCGGTTCTGCAGCACAGGGTCAGTGATCGTGGTGTCTGTGATCCAGGTCCCTCCACTGTCCGGGTCTTGTACAATCACATCTGCCTTCTTCGGGTCATCCGGAGGTGAGTACATCGCATTCTCCAGGTATACCACCAGCTGCGCCTCCCTCGCCATTTTAGCCATGGCGAAGGCCAGCTGGTTGTGTGTGCGCGTCCTGTCGGGGCCTGTGCTGCAGCGGAGTAAGTGGTTGGGTAGGCTGCAGTCGGCTACGAGTTCTCCGCACTCGCACACGGTTGGTACATTCTGTCGGATGCCCATGCGGAAGGCCAGGGCCGCTCGGAACTGTCCCGGTGAGAAGCAGAGGTCCGGGGTCAAGGGTAGTGCCTGCAGCCACGCTCTCGCTCCCTCTCCTCTCAGGCTGACTAGGCGGAGTGTGTGGCCCATCTCGGGGGCTGACTGTATTGCGCGTGACTCCTCTCTTAGGGCGTCGGCCTTTGCCGCGTGCACTTCCTGGGAGAGGGCGCGCTGCAGCTGGTCCTGGGACGGGGTTTGCTGCTCCTCCCGTAGGTTTTGTAGCGCCAGCGGTGGCAGTCGCCCCTCCATGTCCTGGATGGTCACGGAGTGCGCTGCAGACGGCTGCAGGGCGTTGCTGTCGGCCCCTAGCGGCGCGGTTGCCGGTAAGTCCAGGGAGCGGAGCAGGCGCAGCGCCTCTGTTGTAGATGCCAGGTAGGCCGGTGCTACTTCAGTTGTGGGGTCCGTAAGGCCCAGTCCGCCTAGTGCTACTGGGAGAGTTGCCTGTCGGAGAAGGAAGTTGAACTCGGCTTGTCGGCGTGGCGGTTGAATGCTGGCGGCGGTCAAGGCAGTGTTCAGTAATTCGGCGCACCATGTGTGCCATTCCGAGAGCGGTAAGACGTCAGCTGGGGTAGTGCGCAGCAGGTAGCCGACTCTGCGGCTGATGCAACGAGACAGTAGCAGGAGGGTGTGTTGTGGGTGGATGTACGCCAGAGAGCCCAAGGGGGCTGCCGCATCTGTCAGGGTGCTGCGGACAAAATCAGAGCAGAAGCTCTGCGACCCCACTGGACTTCCCAACACCCGCACCTCCTCGCGGGTGAGGGGAAGGCCCTCGGGGAGTACGTCCCCTCCTAGCGGCACGGTGGACCACGCCGACGACTTCCTAAAGTTGCAGGTGAGACCGTCCCGTGCCAGCAGCGGCGTGAGCTCCCTGAGCGCTTCCAGCGTCGCCGCCGCGGGTCCAATCATGGTTATGTCGTCCGCGTAAGCGAGGACCGTGACTTCGGGGTGCTCTGTTGCTACGTGCCTGAGGTGCTGCTAGATAGACGCTGCGAATAACAGAGGTCCGAGGGGATCCCCCTGTCTGACTCCCCTTCCGCTGGTGAGTGCCGTGGAATTGAAGCATGGGTCCAGCAGCAGTGGTGAAGATGCTGCGTAGAAAGAGCGTGTCAAGGGGATTAGGGGAGCTAGTGGGGAGCCGATGAGTGCGTTGAAGAATGCGCTCCTCTCTACTGAGTTGAACGCGTTCTCAATGTCGAGCTGGAGTACTAGGCTGGAGGGCTGCACCGTGGTGAGGTCTCGGACAGCATGGATGACAAATTCTGCACCTCCAGGGACTGCCACGCCAAATTGCTGAGGTAGGAAAAAATTTCGCGTTTCTCCTTGCAGATCTGAGAGTGCCACCTTCGCCGTCAGCCTAAGCAATGACTCTCCAATCGCAATGGGACGTACCCCCCCCCTGGTTTGGCGAAGGCTATAAGGCGGGACGGGGCAATTAGTGCTGCAACTTCAGTGGAAAGATTTGTCGAGAGAAGATGCGAAACGACGGAGTGGAGGTGCCCTAGTACCTCGATGTTACTCAGCGCTGGATCGCGGTAGTGTTCGAAAGTTGACCCCGATGGGCCAGCCCCAATTCCCCTGGGGCATTCTCCAAGGACGTCGGAAAAGCGTTCCAGAGTGGTTGAGAATTGCGTGGGTGTGGTGTAGGAATGCACCCACTCGGGCAGGTCATTTTGGGGTTGGGGGTGTTTCGATTCCAGCTGCTGTAGTGTCGCAATTGTCGCAGGTGCTGAAGGCGAGGGTTGTAGGGCTGCTAACGCCTTTCGCAGGTTACCCCGTTTCACCAACCCCTCCGCACGTGAGCAGATTCCCAGTGGGTCACGTTGGTGCTGAGGTGGTTCGGCCAGGTGCATTGACCCCAAGAAGTCAGTGTACAGCTGGGTCCAGTGGCCACATCGGAATAGATGCATCTGTTCCCGCAGCAGTTTCCATCTAGAGCTGGATCTCCGGCTAAGACTTCTTGTGAGACGTGGCAGGAACATGAGGACCCGCCATGCTTCCGCGCAGTTAGGCAGCTTGGAGATCCGAAGTAGGGCAGCCAGCATACAGGTGGAGTAGTCGCTGAGGATCTGCGGCGGCAGTCGGCGGACGATTGGTAGGTGGGTGGTGGAGGTTAGGAGTGTAAGGTCCCAAGTCATCGCGATTTGGAAAAGATCCTCCCGCGAGGCCAGCTGGGACGCCGATAGTGCCTGGCCCGGGGGAAGCTGAGCCCAGCGATGCTGTCTGCGGCCGGTTCCTCTCTCCTGTTGCTGCGCTTGCCCCTCTCCTTGTTCCGCGTGAGGTGAGGCGGGATCGTCTGGTTGCCTCAGATCTGACGGCATATAATCGTCTCCACTCCCCTCTGTGTTGATATCCCTGTTTCTCCCCGCTTGCGCTGGTGTTCCTCCCCTCGCCCCCCGCCTGGCGAATGACTGGCGCGTGACTCGTTCCGCCGGCTCCCCCAACCAGATTGGGCTCGGCAACTGGCAGGGCGGTCCCCTTCCCGCTTGGCCTGCGCTCCTCTGCCCTCCGCGCGCTCCTCGTCGCCCGCCTCTCCCCCGCGTGCTTCCCCGTCCGCTCCGCGGGGTAGCTGCCACAGGTTCCGCCTGTTGCGCCTGGGAGATCGGCGTTGTCGGCTCCTCGTGTGCCAGTGGAGCGTCTTGAGCGTTGGCCAATGGATTTCGTTGGCGCTCTTGGCCGCGACTTCACCGCGGAGAGCGATCCTGCTCCCCGTCCGCTTCCTCTTGCACGCCCTGCCGCGAGCGTGCCTGTTGCTCCGCCGGCGTCCGCTGATCAGATCCGCCGCCGCTTCGAGGACCACCGGCGCGAGTTGGCTCCACGCGCGGGCAGGTCCTTGTCACCGCAGGAGCCCCCGCGCGCGGGGTCCGTCCTGCGCCCCGGCGCAGAGGCTGTGGCGCACCAGGAGCGTTCGCCTCGCCGTCGCTCATCGGCAGCTCGTGACAATAAGCGGGAGAGCCGCCGCGATGATCGTCACGGTGCGGCCCGTTCGCCGCTGTCGCCTCGTTCGCCTCGTCGCGTGGCGTCGCGAAGCCGATCCCATGACCGCCGTTCGCATCGTCATCGTTCGCCCCCTCACCGTTCATCTCGCCAGCGGTCGCCTGCCCGCCAGACGTCTGGGCGTCGGCCCCCAGCTCCGCGTTGGCCCCCTCCTACAAAGCACCAACGGCTCTACTCCCCTCGTCGCGGGGATCGTTTTCCTGGCCGCCAGCGTCAGCAGGGCCCATCTCGCCCGCAGTCGCCTGTGCGCTCGAGCGCAAGTGGGCGTGCGCGTCGTGGGCAACGGGGGGGTGACAGTCGCGGCGGAAAAGCGCGTCCAGCGCCGTCCGCAATGGAGCGCCGCCTTCTGGATAGGCTTGATGACGTGGAGAAGGAGCTTCGTCGCTCGCGTGCGGGGTCAGCGTCACCATCAGCTCCTCGCGCTGCTCCCGTCGTCCCTCTCTCCGCGCTCCTGCCCCACAATCCCTTTGGATCCCCGGCGCGTTCAGAGCGGCCGCTGCCTGCGGGGATGGGCTTCGTAGGTGCTGGTGGCGGGCCGCCGTGGGCTCAGTTTGCTCCGCTGCGTCCTCTTCCTGCTCCGCGTGATCTCGCCTTGTCGTCTCACCGTGCCCGCGCGTCTGCGTTACTTCCGCCGATGAAGGAAGTTCCCACGGCGACCCTGGCCCGCCTATGGTCGCTGGCGGCGTCCCTGCAGAGCCTTGAGCGGACTCTCGAGGAGTCATTTGACTCCATGCCGGTGAGCCCTCCGAGCAGGTTCTCTCAGAAACCGCGAGCAGATTGTCATGCGGCGGCGTCAGCGCTATTCGCGCTCGTAACGCCACTGCAGGTAGCGCCCTCGCCGGGAGCAACCTCGGCCAGCCAGCTGGCTGACTCGGCCCTGGCTCTGAGGACGCTTGTAGCAGGCCCTGGTACTCCTGTTGACGTTGTAGGCGCCACCGTGTCTGTGGTCCGCCAGTTGTGGTTGAACACGAGCGGAATGCTCGCTGCGGTAGAGGCGGACCGCATGTAGGCGCTCCCCCCTTGCGCGTATAGACCCGTTCCATCCTCTACTTGCTAAGTGTCTATGCTTGCTTTGTTTGTATCGGTTGCCTAAGCTACTACTGCTTGTTGTTTCCCCTTGCCATCCCTAACGCGCGGCCGAAGGCTTGAACGAATGGTTCTCCTGAAGTCTCTCCTCTCTCGGCCTGATGCTCGACTCCTCGAGTATTAAGGCATGGCTCGTAGCGCAACAAGGTGTGAGGCCCTTTCAGAAGTGAGAGGAGCAGTACCCGTGGAACTACGGGCAAGAGGGGTAAGAGGCCATGGTTATGGAGCCATGGGTAAGAGGGGTAAGAGGCCATGGTTATGGAGCCATGGGCAAGAGGGGTAAGAGGCCATGGTTATGGAGCCATGGGCAAGAGGGGTAAGAGGCCATGGTTATGGAGCCATGGGCAAGAGGGGTAAGAGGCCATGGTTATGGAGCCATGGGCAAGAGGGGTAAGAGGCCATGGCCATGGGTTGATGCCATGCAGGGGGATAAGAGGCAACTTCTTCAATTCTAATAGCTTCTACCGTACTCTTTGGTTGGTTGGCCGTTGTGTGAAGTGCATCGGCTTGGTTTCCAAATTTCCAGCAGTGCCACTACCTTTGAGGCACCTCAAAGTCAGTGTATTTGAGGCACCTCAAAGTCAGTGTATTTATCAGCTTGGTTTCCCAGCACGACTGTTTTGAGGCGCCTCAAAAGTTGGTTTCCCAGCACGACTGCCCTTTGCTGCCAGAAACAGCTCCCTTTCTCCCTTCCATCCTGCCGCCACTCATCCCCCCTTCCATCACGTCTCCCTCACTCCAACCTCGCCTTCCTTTCATCCATCCCACCTCTCTCGTGCCCCCACCTCTCTCGTGCCCCCACCTCTCTCGTGCCCCCACCTCTCTCGTGCCCCCACTCCGTCCGTGCACCCCCAGGTGTGCTTCACAGCGATTTTTGAGGCGCCTAAAAGCCTAAAAGCCTAAAAGCTCCTCTCGTGCCCCCAATCCATCCGTGTGTCCCCAGGTGTGCTTCACAGCGCCCTTCCCCGGCCCCTACCGGCTGTCGCTGCATCTGCTCTTCTCCAACGCGTGCCAGACGCGCACTGCTCTCAGCAAGGCCTACAACCAGGGCTTCCAAAAGTGGGTCTTTTGTGCTGAGGTGTGGGGGGGCATGCAGTGGCTGCATTGCAGTGGCACTGAATAACGCCTGCCAGCTTGCTGGGTCTCTGTGTGCGCGTGCGTGTTTGTGTGCTTGCTTGTATGCATGTCTGCATGTGAGCATGTTTGAGCATGTGTGCATGTATGAATCTCTCCATGTGTGCATGTGTCTATGTATGCATGTGTGCATGCTTCCTCTGTGATGTCTCTCCTAATACTACCTTCGGCTGCATGCATGTGGGCATGTACTCGCAAACACACACACACACACACACACACACACGCACAGACACGTACACACACACACACACACACACACACACACACACACACACACACGTTCTCCCACCGTGCACGCACACCCCTACCCATACGTTTTCCTAGCTCCCAGGATTTCCCATCAATGTCCCGTGAATTAACCAGAAACCCTCTCACCCCGTCATCTTTCCCCACCCACGCACTGCCTGCCATCACACCACTGCTTGCCCGTGCATGCACCACCCGCCGTCACTCCGTGCATGCACCACCCGCCGTCACTCCGTGCATGCACCACCCGCCGTCACTCCGTGCATGCACCAACCGCCGTCACTCCGTGCATGCACCAACCGCCGTCACTCCGTGCATGCACCAACCGCCGTCACTCCATGCATGCACCAACCGCCGTCACTCCGTGCATGCACCACCCGCCGTCACTCCGTGCACGCACCACCCACTGCCACTCTGTGCAGCTATCACCTGGTGGCCCTCCGCAAGCTGCAAGTCACCAGCCCCCAGCCGTACTTCCCAGACGCGCTCAGGTAAGCATGCTGGCTCGTCTCCTCAGTGAGGTTGTAATCAGTTGAGCCGCGACAAGAAGCAGGAGTATGGGTTGCAAGTCTCCAGCCCCCAGCCGTACTTCCCAGACGCGCTTAGGTAAGCGTGGTGGCGCATCAGTGAGGTCTTGATTAGGCGGCAAGAAGCAGGAGTATGAGACCGGGAGGAGAAGGAAGAGTGAGGGGGGCTGCAGGTTGGGTTTGTAGAATGCTCAACACCAAGCTGCTACAGGATGGGCTGCAGTGCAGCCAGCTGATACACAATGTTCTGATTCTATAGTGACGATTTGACATCTCCTGTCCGCTTTTGACATCTCCTGTCCGCTTTTGACATCTCCTGTCCGCTTTTGACATCTCCTGTCCGCTTTTGACATCTCCTGTCCGCCTTTGACAGCTCCTGTCCGCCTTTGACAGCTCCTGTCCGCCTTTGACAGCTCCTGTCCGCCTTTGACAGCTTCTGTCCGCCTTTGACAGCTCCTGTCCGCCTTTGACAGCTCCTGTCCGCCTTTGACAGCTCCTGTCCGCCTTTGACAGCTCCTGTCCGCTTTGACAGCTCATACACCAAGCTGCTACAGGATGGGCGGCAGCAGCCAGGCAGTCCGGATTCAGGAGATACAATCCTGCTACCTGAACGCGGCCATCTCCTGCATTCCCTCATGCGGTGCGGTGACCGATATCAACACTGAACAGAAACCATGTTGAAACCGAATCATATCCAAGGCCTGTCAGCCGAAGCAGCCCCTCCCTCCGTCCTTCCAAAGCTGTTGAGACTCTTCAAAACCAACTCCAACCAACATTTTTGAGAATTCTCTAATGCTTTTTCCTTCCACCCCCTCCGTGGCGCACAGAGAGGGCCTCCCCTGGTGCACGCCTGCCCTGCTGCGCTCCTCCGGCAACGAGGGCTACTGGAAGGACCAGCAGTGGCGCCCCCACGCGTGCCGCCTCAAGTCCGTTCAGCCCGCCGGTGTGCTCCGTTGCTTCCACCGCAAGCAACGCGTGCTGCTCATGGGTAGGGAGGGGTGCTCATGGGTAGGGAGGGGTGCTCATGGGTAGGGAGGGGTGCTCCTGCAGATCTTCCTTCACATGTAATGCCATGTGGTGCCTGTGCTGTTCTGTGCACCCGCTCCTTTGTCACGCCCTCCTTTGTCACGCCCTCCTTTGTCATGCCCTCCTTTGTCACGCCCTCCTTTGTCACGCCCTCCTTTGTCACGCCCTCCTTTGTCACGCCCTCCTTTGTCACGCCCTCCTTTGTCACGCCCTCCTTTGTCACGCCCTCCTTTGTCACGCCCTCCTT